GACTGGCTAACTGTCACAGAAAATAAGATGGAAACCAAGTTGAAGCACTTGAGAACTGACAACGGCTTAGAGTATTGTTCAGAGCAGTTTGAGGAGCTATGCAGGAGGAATGGCATCATAAGGCACAAAACAGTCTGAAACACTCCTCAACAGAATGACTTGGCTGAGAGGATGAACAGGACTCTCCTAGAGAGAGTGAGATGCATGCTGCTAAATGCAGGTCTACCCAAAAGTTTCTGGGGTGAAGCCGTGTCAACTGCCTGCTACCTTATCAACAGATGCCCATCAACTGCTATCGATATGAAGACACCTTCGGAGATGTGGTACGGGAAACCAGGTAACTATGATAATCTCAAAGTTTTTGGATGTATTGCATATGCTCATGTTAGACAGGATAAGCTGGAAGCAAGGGTCCTGAAGTGCATTTTCATTGAATACCATCTGGAACCAAGTGCTACAAACTCTGGTGCTTAGATCTAGATCAACAAAAATGCATCATCAGTAGAGATGTGACATTCGATGAGTCCAAAATGACGAATCTGTATAGCCATGCTGCCAAAAACAACATCACCAAGGAGGATTCTTCAATTGAGGTGTAGCTGCAACAACAATGAACTTTGACAGATCAAAAGACTGTTGTGAATGATCAGGATGAAGTGGCAGAGGAACAACAAGTGATTGGGCCAGAAAGAAGATCTGATGACTACAGCTTGGTAAGGGACATACAAAGAAGAAATATTAGACCGCCAGAGAGATACGGCCATGCAGATATGATCTCATATGTTTTAAGTGTTGCCGAAAAGATAGAAGAAGCAGAACCAAACAACTACAAGGAAGCCTTAAAGAGCAGGGAAAGACTCAGGTGGGAAGAGACAATGGATGAGGAAATGACTTCTCTGATGAAGAACAAAACCTGAGAACTTGTGAATCGACCAAAGAACAAATGAGTGGTTGGTTGCAAGTGGATCTTTAAGAAGAAGGAAGACACAAAAGGTATTGAGAGGATCGAATACAAAGCCAGACTCGTTGGAAAGGGATTCACTCAGGTAGAAGGAATCGATTTCAACGAAATCTTTTCGCCCGTCGTGAAGCACTGCTCCATCAGGATAGTCTTAGCACTAGCGGTTCAATTCAATTTGGAGTTAGTGCAGCTAGATGTTAAGACTGCGTTCCTGCATGGAGAGCTTGAAGAAACCATCTACATGGATCAGCCAGATGGGTACTGCACACCTGAGACAAAGGACAAAGTTTGTTTGTTGAAGAAATCTTTGTATGAATTGAAACAAAGCCCCAGACAATGGTACAAACGATTTGGTGAGTTCATGCTAAAGATCGGATTTGTCAGATGCAGCTACGACAGTTGCGTGTACATGAAATGACAAGACAGTGAAATAAATACTACTTGCTTCTTTATGTGGATGATATGTTAGTAGCCAACAGAAGCAAGGAGGAAATCCAGAAGATCAAATGTATGCTCAATTCTGAATTTGACATGAAGAACCTAGGACCTGCTACAAAGATCATAGGGATGGAGATTACTAGAGATAGGAAAAATGACACCTTATTTTTGTCTCAAAAGTCATATATTCAGAAGGTTCTAGCGAGGTTTAACATGCATGAGGTTAAACATCTTGCAACACCTATTGACCAACACTTCAGATTGTCAAACTCTCAAGTACCAGAGACTGAAGATGAGAAAATGTACATGGAGGGTGTCCCTTATGCCAGCGGGGTTGGTAGCATCATTTATGGGATGATATGCAGCAGACCAGATTTGGCCTACGCTGTCAGCATTGTAAGCAGGTTCATGACAAACCCAAGACAAACTCACTGGGAAGCACTAAAATGGATCCTGAGGTACCTGAGAGGCACTACAGACCTTGATCTACTCTTTAAAAGGCAGGAAGACAAAGAAGAAAAGGTGGTTGGTTACGTGGACTCCGATTATGCAGGAAGCATTGACACCAGGAAGTCACTGACCGGGTTCATTTTCATTGTCTTCGGTACCGCAGTCAGTTGGAAGTCTAACCTCCAATCCGTTGTGGCCCTCTCAACAATAGAGACCGAATACATCGCTGTGACTGAAGCAATCAAGGAAGCTATGTGGTTAAAGGGCATGGCTGAGGAGCTCGGGATACATCAGAAGGTCTCGGTTATTATGCATGTCCAGTTATACAATCAACATTTCATATCGTAACTCATTTATAGAATTTGGTCAATTGAAGCAAAAATAAAGATGAAGGTCTCGGTGAAATACTAAGAAATCACACAGGTTGGGATTATTTCTATATAATGGATGGTTAAGATTTTTTTTGGGTGAAATCATAAGTTTTATATAGATTTTATTTGATGGGCTGATGATCTATACTTCTGTTTGACATTCTTAGCCTGTTTTCCAGGACATGCTCTGCGCTCTTGCTGAAATTTTAAGCGACAGGCAGCTTCTTAGAGAGAGTTATGATAAAAAGCTGAAAGAAAATAAGATAGGAATCATGCAGGTAGCACAATCAACAGCAGAATGGCTAGCCAGGTTTTATACCACTGAATGCATGAAATAGGTAGCATAATGTGCCGTCTCCTCAGAAATAGTGACAATGTGGCCTTATTTGTGTTATATTGTCTGACCATGACAGGGAAATGGGCTATCGCAAGTATACGGCAGAAGATGAATCTCTGCTGTACAGACCTTTTGAGAACCTGTACTTTGGTGCAGCATATGTAAAATGGCTATCTAATTATGATGGAAAGTAGGTTTGCATTTTCTGTAAATTTGTTTTAGTTCTACTGTTTTTCCATTGCTTACAAGAATCATATTCTATGAGAGATTTTGGTCATATTAACATTTTAAGAATCAAGTTTTTGTTGAAAAATGTTACTATTCCAATTTGTATTGACAGACAAAGAAGCGAAGAATATGTTGTAAGAGCATACAAGGGTGGCATAAAGAAAGCTACCCACAAGTCAACAGCGACATATTTTGAGCGTTACTTTTCTTTCAAGCGTAGCTTACCACCCAAAAGGTTTTAATAACTTATCTCAAGTCTATAACATCAATTTATGTTAGCACAAATTATATATTTTTAAGAAGAAAAGTATTGAAGTTGCATTTTTATTTAAAGTCTGCATTTTTAAAGTTTGAATAAATTTCTTGCCATTTCTTAACATCATTTAGGGCTGCAAAGTGTCTGATCTTAAGCAAGTTGGACCTGAACCAACTTGAAATTGGGTTGGGCATAGTCTGATTTTTTTTCTTGCTAAACTTGGCTTGAGGCCTGTTTCATAATCTCTTAATGCGTGCTTAGTATGGCTGGTTAATTTTGATGCAATCTTAAACCAAGTGGAAAACTGATCTGATTGCTGATGGATATTTGATCGTCGAGTCTGTTGATCTAAATTTTTATGAAGAGCATATATATGGCAAACAGAAGAAGATTTATTTCTCCAGAATTGGGTCAGTAGTTAAATCAAAGATATTGGAGTTAGTGCATACTGACGTATTGATTCCTACTCCTGTTCAATCCATTGAAGGTTCTCGCTATTTTGTAACATTCATTAATGATCACATGAGAAATGTATGAGTTTATTTCTTAAAGCAGAAATCTAATATATCTTAAATCATTAAGAAATGAAATGTTATGGCAGAAAATGAGACAACTTGAAGATGAAGTATCTCAGAACAGATAATAGGGGTGACTACCGTGATCAGAAGATCATGATTTTATGTGCTACAGAGAGGGTTAGGCACGAGTTCACTGTCCCAAGAATATCGTAGCAGAATAATGTGGCTGAGCGCATGAACAAAACAATCATGGAGCATGCTAGGAGCATGAGATTGCATGCAGGTTTGCCAAAACAATTTTGGGCAGAAGCAATAAACAAAGTTGTTTATCTGATAAACCACACTCCATCAATATCTTTGGAGGAAGACATTTCTGAAGAAGCTTTCAGCGACAAAAATGTATGTCCATCTCATTTAAGAGTATTTGGGTGTTCTGCATAGGTGCATGTAGATGCAGGGTCTAGAAGCAAGCTTGACTCAAAATCTGTCTAGTACACCTTCATTGGATATGACTAGGAGGAGTTTGGGTACAAAACCTGGGATTATCAGAATCAGAAATTCATCAAAAGCAGGGACGTTACACTCAACGAAATGGAGATGTACAAAGACAGGGTCATAAATCAAACAATTTTGCCAGCTACTTCTACAGGATCTAGATATGTGGAGATTAAAAAAACTGGTAATTGGAAAGATGGAGAAAAGAAGTAGTGCTCAATCAGAAAGAGCATTGAAAGTTCCTCAGTCACCTGCTACAAAAGTCAGATGATCCAGTTGAGTGAAACAACCCATTTAAAGGTATTCTTATTCTTTACACTTTGTTATTAACTGATAGTGCTGAGCCTGAGTGCTTTGAGGAGACCACTCAAGTTAAAGATTCAAAGGAGTGAGCTCGTAGTAGATGAAGAAATGCAATATTTGGAGTCAAATCAAACTTTAGATTTGACGGTACTACCAAATGATAAAAGAGCATTGCACAATAATTAGGCCTACAGGTTGAAAGAAGAGTCAGATGGTATCAAACACTGCAAGACAAGACTTGTTGTGAAGGGTTTTCAGTAGAAGGAAGGAGTGGATTACACAGAGATCTTCTCCGTAGTGGTGAGAATGATGACTGTCAGGGTGGTGTTGAGTTTGGTAGCAGAGGAAGATCTACATCTAGAGTAGATGAATGTAAAAACAACTTTCTTACATTGAGATTTGGAGGAGCTATATATGGTGCAACCACATCGTTATAAGGTTCCAGGCAAAGAATGTTTGGTCTGCAAATTGAATAAGTGTTTCTATGGCTTGAAGCATGCCCCGAGTCAGTGATACAGGAGGTTTGACTGGTTCATGACAGAGAATGCATATATGAAGTGCCACGTAGACCACAGTTTTTTCATCAAACACTTCAGTAACTGTTATATTTCATTTCTTTTGTATGTGGATGATATGCTGATTACAAGGGTATATATGAAGAAAATCAAGGACTTGAAGAAACATTTATCAAGTGAGTTCGAGATGGATGATTTATGTCCATCCAAGAAGATTTTCGGAATGAGAATCAATAGGGATAGAAGTGCAGAAACACTGAAGTTGTCTCAAGCAGAGTGTGTTGAGAAGATCTTACGGAGGTTCAACATAAGTGAGGCGAACCAGTTGGCACTCCCTTAGATAGTCATTTCAAACTATCAAAGGAGCTTTCGCCGAACTCTAAAGGAAAGCACATATGAAGAAAACTCCAAATGATTCAACGGTTGGAAGTTTGATCTATGCGATGATTTGTACAAAACCAGATATTTCCTTATGTAGTGAGAGTGTCAACAAGTATATGGGCAATCCAGACAGACATCATTGGGAGTCGATAAAGTTAATTCTCAGGTATTTAAGGGGAGCTATCAACATAGCACTTTGCTATGGAAGTGCAGAGATTAGTCTATAGGGTTTTGTAGATTCAAATCTGATAGGTGATGTGGACAGTATGAGAAGTATAACAGGATATATCTTCACATTGGGGAACACAATGGTGAGTTGGGTTTTCAGGTTGTAGAAGTTTGTTGTACTTTCTATCATTGATGCTAGCAAGGGGATAATTTGACTACAAAATTTCATGGCATAATTGTGCAAGGAGTAGGAAATTAAAAAACTCTACAGTGACAATATGAGTGCGATTTATCTTGCTATGAACGTTATTTTTCATGTCAGGTTGAAATACATCCAACTCATGTATCATTTCATTCGATCTCTTCTGGAAGATGGGCAATTGTTTATGGAAAAGATACATATAGCTGAGAATCCCGCAAATATGTTAACAAAGGCAGTGACTGTTGAGTAACTGAAGCCGTGCTTGGTTTCAATTGAGTTTTATGAAGGTTGAGACCGGGGGTGAGCCGCACCACGACACATGACCATGGTCAGTCACTATGAAGGCGATTCAGATGGAGATGCAGGTACAGAGGACTAGCGTTGGGTGTTATAGTCTCTAAGTGAAAGATTGATGGGCAATGGAGTGTGAGCACAAGGCTCCCGATGCACATGCGCTGGGTTGTGGGCGTTGCTCGAGCAGAGGAGCCAACGCCTAGGTGCTTGCTTTGGGCGCATATGCTCCCACTATAGAGCGGGCGTTGCTCTTATTTCTTAGAGACAGGCGCTTCTTATTCCCGAGAGACCGACGCCTTTTATTCTCGAGAGACTGACGCCCCATTATGGAGCATTGATACAGAGCGCTTGGCGCTTAGGTGCCAAGTTTGGCCGCCTAAGCATCTGGTGCTGTTATTACACAAAAAATTAGTTTTAAGTCAATTTTTAGCGTAGCTTGGTGAGCTTGCTATTTTTTTTCTTTTTGAATTATTTGTTGAGCATCCTGGTGAAGGTGAGGAGTGTAGAAAAGGTGGATTTCGTTGATTCGACGTAATTTTTTGCATCAAATCGAAGAGTGAAGATTGGGTTGGTGCAAGTCCTGTAAGTTTCTTCGTGTGAATGTGGAGAAAAAACTTGGGCCAGTCCTTTGTAAAATTTTCTGAATTTCATAATAGGATTTTGGTAGTGTCTCCATGATTTTTTTTTCGTTCTCAGGTTTTTCCACGTAAACTCTTGTGTGTTTTTTTTGTTGCTTTGATTGTGCTTCTGTTTCAATTTTTGTTCTAATTTTTTATCGAATTGGTGCGATATCGTTATTCTGCGGTGGTTTAGTTTCTAGACGCTAGATAAAATTGGACATTTCCTATTAATACATGATAATATATACTAATATTTAATGCGTTCCTAAAAAAATTTCTATTTTTGAATTAACCATATGATATCAGAGTTAACCCAAACTATAGTAGGAAAATCAAATATTATTACTAAAAGTAAATGGACATTATAATCAACACTCTTGAAAGAGAATAACAACAACAAGGCACGCAACATGCTGAAATAGGAAATAACAACAAAACTCATGGCACATGGCTAAGGGTGAATCTCGGAGTGGTGGTGATGATTGAAGAGGGTTTGGAAGGTGGTGGTGGGATGGTGGACGAGTTGGCCGACAAGCAGAAAATGGCAACGTAATGGCTTCTTAGGTTCCAGACTACAAGTACGTAGTAGATATTGACGTGCCACAGCTGTCCGAGTTAATGGTAGCATGGGGGCTGAAACAACAACATCAACAAAGATGGAAGCTGGAACTGCGATGACAACAGATATGGAAGGTTGGAACAACAATGGCAACGTATGGGAAGGGCTGGAACAACAATTTCAACGAGGATGGAGGGATGGAACGACAATGGGTAATGTGGTGGACTACCAGACTACCAAAAGAGGGCCGTTTTTGGTGGGGCTAGTGAGGCGAATCGCTGGACAACGGGTAAATTGTAGGAAAAAACAACAAAAGGCTTCTTTTGAGACGACTTGTAGTGAGGAGTGCGGGGCAGCGAATTAGGAGGAATTGCAGAAGAGTTGGGGTAGGATAAACACTAACTGGAGATCAAGATACATTCGAAGCACCATCTGGAATCCTAGGACACAACCCTCGAAGGGAAGAAGAGTCGTCTGTGCTTGCCTCGATAGAAAACAAGAAAAACTAATTCTAAACTCCTACGACAATAAATATATAATAATCAAATAACTAGGAGTGGCACAAGAAGACCAGTCGACTCCTTAACATGAACCAAACTTGGACCAGTTTGGTCCAGGAATAGTCGCCTGGTCGCCTCTTTGTTCGCAGGTCGCGGCTTCGTTCGCATGTCGCGTCTTTGTCGCCTCAGGAGCGGGGGCACTTTTTCATTGATCTCCTCGGGGTGGGGAGCTTTTACTTCGTCTATTGAAGCTCGTGTCTCCTCATAGTAGTTAGGTCAACTCCTTTGAAAGTAACGAAATTTTGTCAGCTCCAGGTATGTCAATCTTGTAAATGTTGTTATCCCAAAATACATCCTGTTTGAACAAGTATTCTTTCAGTTTTGGCATAACTTGTGCTGGAGCTGCATCTGGATCGATGTTCTCACGAGCCAAGCCTCAAGCCATTAAATCTGTAATTAAGTTCTTTCACTTGTACTCGTCCAAGTGTATCTGGTAAACAAGTATGTGAGGAGGAATCAACTCTGGGATGAACTCTGTGGCAGGCTAGGCCATACTGAAGTGTCACCACGCATGGGATGTCTCTTCTTTTTCTCTGCAAGGACATGTATCCCACTGTAGGATGTTTTTTCCCAAAAAAAATTAGGGCGATTTCCCACGTTGTAGCTCATCTATTCTATCTGATCATCCGTCGGTGGGTACATTATTGAACTGATTTTACCGCTCAAAGGACTCCATATGATCTTCTAGAAGTAGCTTAAAAGCTTCACATCTCTAATATGTTGAATCTTCCTCAACAGGGGCAACTCAAGAGATAGTTTATATATCTGAAAAGTCTAAATTTCTCTTATATGGGGTTACCATGCCTCTAGTTTGGGTTTTCCGAACTCATGGGCCTTTTGAACTCTTGGGTCGCGGCTTCGTTCGCATAGTGAGCACAGGGCACTCCCACGTCACCCTAGCTTTATAATGAAAGTTGACAAGATTTGTACTTCTGCAATCTTTATGTTGCGTTGCCAAAACGAGACAACACTCCTTCTAGATCTATATTATCATATAACTCAAGGATTTATGACTCCTCTTCAATCAAGCTCAAGGGAATCAACATTTATCGACAAATAATCGATGTAGATCTAATGGTATCATTCCCAAAATCAAATACTAAAACCTGCCGATGAACCAATTTCAATCTCCAAAAACATGGATTTCATAGTCCCATGGCTTCGTTCATTCATCCATTACCATGTGTATGATGGCATTTTAATCATTTGCCATCTTAGTAGCCAGAGGGCCAAAATACCCCTTAGCCAAGGGCATTTTTGTTTAAAATGGTTGTGGAGCTGATGCTTCTTTCTCATTCATAATCCACCTTATCAAAAGTTTAAGCAAACTTTCACCCACCCTCTTTAGTCCTTACTATAAATATCCTTAGTGTGAACGCTAGGATTAAGTTCTTAACTGATGCAGTGGAAGTGGCTGAGAGTTTTTTTTTTTTTTTTTGTTAGTTAGTTTTTAACTAATGGCTGACAACACTTTCTCCCGAAGGCCCACAAAAGTCCATTTTCTCTGTTTAATGTGCTTTTTGAAATATGTGATCTAATAGGTCTCCAATTTAATCTAGTGAAGATGTAGATAAAAGGTATTCTGACCGCTCATAATAATTCTTAACAAACCCTAGATATCCACTTTTCTCTGCTTAATATATATTTTAAAATTTGATCTTAGCCTTTTGCAACTTACCTAGTGAAGATTTAGATAAAGTTACTGCCTATAAATCCTGAAAGCTGCACGTGTGTATATTTGTTCATTTGCATGCATAAGATCTTGTGTTATTCGCGAATCACAATCTCTTGGCCTGGGAACTTGGTAATTTATGTTGTTTCTTAATAGATTATGTAATCTGTGGTGACAAATACTTCAACGAGTCAAAATTTTTCAACTTGTAGGAGACAAAAGAAGTATAATGGCCATACACTCACACCTGACTTCCTCAGTATTGATGCTCCAGCAGATGTGAAGAAAGGTTTTCATTCTTTACCTGATTCTTGCAGCTACTTTTGCAAAGTTAGCTGTCAATTGGCACTGAATCTTCGAGAAGTATCATCAAACATGAAATCAAAATTTCCTCCTTTTTTATAGCTATTTTTGGGATCTTTTATTGCTATTCATTTGTTATTACCTGGTGAGATTGGAAACTTGGTGGAAGATATTGTCTGTTAATGTTTGAAAAATACTTTCTTTGCGCAATTTTCATCATTCAAGCTGCTGTTGCATAAAAATCTATATTCTAACTTTTGTTATCTCCCACATCCGCTTTGGTGTGATTCTAATTGTTTTATTCTATTCATTTGTCTCGAGTGTTTTGTTATCATTTATGTGAAATATTATGTATATGATTGTTTTAATTTTAATGAAGATTCTACAACTTTTAAACAGATTTAAAGCATATCATATTTATTTCCATATTATGAGCTAAAAATGCTCTTAAGTTCTATAACAGTATCTGATAAATCTTGAAGTAACAACAGATTAGACTTTACTTAATTTTCTTAATACCTAAAATGTGCTGCTATTTTTATCTTTTATTTTCCATGAGTTTAGGTGTTCTTTGAATGCTTTTGTCCTTCATATTTATGCTACATTAGTCTTCTTTCATACATCTGTTTATAAAACGATACTTGTAACTAACCCTTGGTTTACCTTTTGAATTAGGTGATGGATGGGCACACTGGGATTTGACAGTATCTGAAAAAGACATGGATGAAATATGGAAACATTCACAGGTCAACAAAGAGTGGACAAAGTCAGGCGAGCGACGTGGAAGAGTTCGGTTCTCCCAAGATTCTGAGGGGAGATCTTATCTTTCTCAGGTTGAGGTGAAGGTAAAAACTGAAAATTATGACAAAATAGATTCCAAAGATACATGAACATATATTTGTATTTAGATAAAAAAAATCATTGATGCATCATCAATAAAATTTTATTATCTAGGACTCTCAATGGATTTTTATATGATAAATATTGAAAATTTAAATTCAAAATTATCGAGGGCCTCAATTTTAGCAAGTTTTTTGTTAAACTGACTGTTTCGACAAGACGAACCCGATGATACCAAAATTGGTGCAATCCAAGTCCAAGCAAGTTTAGATCAAGCTATTAAAACTTATCTGGATGCTTCAAATCGTTAATTGAATGGTTTAATGAACTTCAAATTTGACGCATTTATGATCAAATAGAGTGTATCAATGAGATAAATCTAATGAGCTTAAGTGACCCGACCCGCAATTACGCAGTAATTTAGCTTCCAAAATATGAACAAAAACTTTAAAGACCCCAGTATCGATCTCCCACAAAAGCGAGGTAAGCAATCTCTTAGGTTAATTCTAGTCTACTACTATCAGGCCTTAGATTGGAGTTTTTAAAAAAGTTTGGTTTTTCTAAATTCACTAATTTACTTTTAAAATTAAAATTAAATAAAAACCTAATTTACAGAGGTTGGATAAATTTTGGAAAATTTTTATACAATTAAAATCCTTTCCCTCTAGTGATGAGATCGTAACTAGTGTAGGGATCAAATATTTAAAGATTTAAATGTAGTTTTGTGACAAATAGGAGCATATACCTATTCTTTACCATCTTCCGAATGCATAAAGAACATTGACTAATCTTTAGTTAAGTTTCTGATTGTATGGTAGTGCTGAGTAGATTCTAGCCTCTCACTTCCAGATTACTCATCGTGTTCTCTCCATAGGACCTACTAGGGACTCAGGTTCTCAACTAAGACCAAATTGATAAAGGTTCTAGCTTGTCACACTAAAATCAACAATTCTACGTCCATCAAAACTTATGTCCCTATTTATTTGCAGTCTTCCTTGGACGTAACATCTCCTCTATCCAAGGTTTAGTGTGGTACTCACTAGTTGGTGAAATCATAGCCCTCTCGGGTCATTATATTTCACAAATGATTTTAAAATTACAAATGATCAATTTGTAAAGTAAATTAAAAACTGGTGAAAATACCATCACAATGTTGAAACAAAAAAAATCTTCAAACCATTCTAATCCTACAAATAATTAATTCTCATCACAAGGAGAAATAGTAAAGAAAACTACTCACTAAGCATAGAGAAAACACATGGATTTTTCATTGCAAATGACATTGAAAACACACAACTATATTGCAATAATTTAAAGCAAATACAAAAAGAATTCAAGACTTATCTTTATAGAAGATTCGCACCCTCCTTGCACAACAGATAACAATCCTATACACTTCTTCTAAAGTCCCAAAAATCTCCAACACTACACACACACGCGCGCTTCTTAGAAGAGACACACTCAACCCTTTCTAAAACTCATCTTAAACTCTTATTCCTCTCGTTTATTAGAGACGAGAGACGCCGACACCCCCTCTTAAAGAGAATCCAAAAGCCTCCTCATTCCAAGAGACACATCTGCACTCCAAGAAATACCTTTTCACTCCAAGAGACACATCTTCATTCCAAAAGATGTGAAATGTCAAAATGTGTCTTTGCAAATGTCTAGATTCATTGCATAACTCCTTCGAGCATGCATAGTTGCCTGAAATCTTCCAGAACCTCCCGAAATAGCCCGGAATCACCCATAACCATCTCTTAACCGTTTATGACGCCTAGGCGCCACTTTCTGGGTGAGACTGGCGCCAAGGTGCCAGGCTGCTGACAACTTCTCCATTTCGCTCCATTTCTTCCCGTTTCAGCTCCAAACCGCTCCAAGTGTTATACCTATAAGATAAACATGAAAATAATATTTCTTAAGTGTAATTTCATTAAAAAATATGTGATAAATGTAAAGGAGATTGAACGTAGAAAGACATCAAAATGCGTTAGATCAAAATTTTCTTCATTGCTCGATTTGACTCCAAATTGCACCGCCATTGCTTTATATAATTAAAATATATCATTATATATATATATATATATATATATATATATATATATATATATATAATAGACAATTTTTAGGCGTGTCATTAAACTCACTTAATTTTGAGGTCATTAAGGCTCTCAAATGATTGCAATACCCATTATGATAAACAGGGATCAATATGAGACATCTAATTAGGTGGTTATGGGAGTTGTTCATCGAATGATGAAAATGCCCCTACTCAGAGGGTATAAATGATTATCACTCTTCACTTGAGTGGGAAGGGGGGAAGGAGTCAAATTCTTGTGCTATTATGAGCTGAAGACACAATGATAAATTTCGTCTTTCGTAGCCATTGTTTACTGTCGATCATCGCTCATCGGATGTCGTGAATCACTACCGACCACCCCTTGATCACCGTCGTTGGTGAAGTTTGTTTGCTTACGAAGTATCCCAAAGAAAAATTTTGAATACGATGTAACGAAGCATCCCAAATACCGTGTAACATATTATCTCGAATACGATGTAACGAAATATTCTAGATACATTGTAACGAATAACACCGCATTAAAGATCCAATGATGACTCCTGACAATAATTGCTTACGACCATCATATTCAAAATGTAGTGACTTTCTCCCAATCCCTGAAATTTTCTGCACGTCATATACCGACAAGTGTTGCCTATGATGTAAATTAATAAACACGGGATTAAGGTTACAACCACCAACAACCACCATCTAGTGTAGCGCTAACTATGACCTATGTGGCCCGTTAATACTATAACTTCTAACTTCAGCCTCCGTAGCTAATTACTATTATTACAACTTTCCACGACAACATATGTGGCCAATTGATATTTTTGCAACGATCCATTATAGTCTATGCGGTCAATTATTACTGTAGTTTTTCACTATGACCTACGTGGCTAACTGCTATCATTATAACATTCCACCACAATCTTTGTGGTCAACTGAGGCTCTTGCAACGACTACCATGACTTATGTGACTAGCTACTACTATAGCTTCTCATTATGACCTATGCGACCAATTGCTGTCCTTGCAGGGACTCATTATGATTCATGTTGTCAATTACTACTGTAGCTTTTCACTAAAGCTTACGTGACTATCTGTTGTTATTATAGTCTTCCATTATGTCGTTTGTGGCCAACCGATACTCTTACAACTATCAACTAAGGCAAATTCTCTGGCCAACTGACGCTCTTACATTATCCCATTGCGACCTATGTGGCTAATTACTACTGCAAGATTTTACCATCGCCTGGGTGAATAACTGCTATCATTACAACCTTTCACTATAGCCTCTCTGGTTAACTGATGCTCTTGCAACGACCCATTACTACTTATGTGCCTATTTACTACTGTAGCTTCTCACTACGGCCTATGTGGTCAATTACAGCTGCAGTTTTCCAATTTGACCTATATGGCTAACTACTGTCATTACAACATTCCACTATAGTCGTTGTGATCAACTAACGCTCTTATAAAGATCCGCTACGGTCTGTGGCTAATTATTACAATAGCTTTTCATTACGACCTAAATGACTAACTATTATCATTTAAATGTTCCACTTTGGGCTCTATGTCCAGCTGACATTTTTGCAGCGTTCCGTTAGATCTGTGGCTAGTTACTACTTATAGCTTCCTTTTATGACTTATGTGACTGATTGCTGTCATTATAACCTTCCACTACAGTCATTATGTCTAACCGCCGCTTTTACAACTATCAACTATGACGAACTCTCTGGCCAACTAACACTCATGCAGCGACCCATTATGATATATATGGCTAGTTACTACTATAGCTTCTCTCTACGGACCATGTGACTAACTGCTATCATTATAATCTTTTACTACAGTCTCTATGACCAATTAACGTTTTTGCAGCGACCCACTACGACCTATATGGGCAGTTATTATTGCAGCTTCCCACTACAATGCAAGTGATTAATTGCTATCATTGAAGCATTCCATTACAATTTTCGTCCAACTGACACTCTTGCAGTGGCACATTTCATAGTTCTAGGATCCAATTTCCTTACTGATGGTCTGTTATAATTCACAAAATATACACATCCAAACACCGTCAATGGGAGGATTCTGCTATTATTTTTTTTCAGCATCTGAAAAAGAGGCTTCCAATCCAACACCCTCAATGACATCCTGTTGATCATTGATAAACTATCAAAACTGCTTGCCCTCATAAGTGTTTTGGGACATTTATTGAGATCATCATGCTTTAGACTACCTCTGGAGTTGTATATTCTTCCTTTTCACCACTTCATTTGGTGTTGATGTGTATAGATATGTGGTTTGATGTTATATCCCTTAGATTGACAAGTATTTCTCAAATGTTTTGTTGATATACTCTATCATATTATCAGATTTCAATACCCTCGGTGCTACACCATATTGAGTTTGGATTGTTTTTGTGAAAGTCTTTAAAACTAACAAACACATCACCCTTATTTTTCATCAAATATAATCAAGTAGCGCGAAAAAGAAACAATTAATAAAGGTCACAAAATTTCAATAACCATTCATAGAACTTGTAGAATAAAGTCCCCAAACATGAGAATGAATCAAGTAAAAAATATCAGAACTTCTATTCTTAGAATTGATATAAGAGTTTCTAGTAAGCTTGTCAAACTCACAAACATTATAAACAAGCTTTGTTTATTTGCATTTTTATATAAAGAATGATACAACCGACTAAATAAACTAAAAGAATAGTGTCCCGTGCGTCTGCAACAACATATCATCCACACTCCTCCCAAATTTCTTTACTCCAACACTCTCTATCAGGGATATTAAAGCTGACTCCATACCCTCCCAATTCATGACATTCCAGTCCCAATTGTCCACTCCATCCATTTCTCTTGGAAGATCACCTTAGAAAAATAAAAACAATAATGCATTTTAGTTGAGAATATGACAGTAATGAATAAAAGGTTCACTGGAAAATAAGCATACAAAACATTGGACAATGTCATATAATTAGTACTCCTTACTGTATTCTTACCAACAACAGAATGTGTTGTACCATTAACAGTATTGATGCTTTATGGTACTGCTAGGAGAGTATAAGTAGAAAACTCATTAGCAGTACCTGTCACATGTCGAGATGCACCAGAATCTACCATCCATTTTGATCGTGTGGTGGAAATAGAGGCAGGAGCATTTGTATCAAAAGTACATTTGTCAGAGTGAGCATAAGTGGTAGTGTTATCCTTTGCTGGCGACTAGTTGGAAGTATCTTGAGCCCCATCTCCTGTTGTTTCCTTCTGAATCTTCAATAGCTCTAGACACTCATGATCCTCATTGATAAAAACATCACCTGTCTCTACCTCTACTACCTTCAAATTTGCGCAATAAACCCCTTTTCCACCTTTTCGACCACCACAATCACGACCACGATGATCAAGACCTCCACCCTTTTCACGTCCATCTATTTCTCTCTCCTTAGGTGGCCTAGGTCATGACTTGGTTAGATGCCCAACTTCACCATAGTTGTAGCACTCGCGAGTCTCCCACTGAAAACCTATCATACCTGAGCTCGAGGTAGCCAAAACTGATCTCGCGCTTGGAAGTTCACTCAGCTCAGAATGTGGCTTCATGCAACTCTCCATCTGTATCATTGCAGTAATGACACCACCTAATGAAGGGATAGTCGTGTGAGCTAGAAGGACTGATCTCCTATGAGCAAAGGTTTGGTTCATAATCTGCATAATCCTAATCTGTGTAAAGATCTCCACTTTCTTGCACTCTAGATAATCATAGCTTGACATCGGTGAGAAGTGATCAAGATCTGCCCATAACCACTCCAGATCTATAACATATTCCTGAATCGATCTATCACCGTATACCTAGGGTTGTAATTGAACCGAGTTGAGCCGAGTATATCATTCTTTGAACTTGGCTTAGTATAATTATAAGTTGTTCACGTTCGACTTGAGTTTGTGTTGAGCTTTCATACATTGTCCAAGCTTAATTTATTTAATTTTTTCAATGTTTGAACTTGATTTGTTCATGATTTATTTTTGACAAATAAACGAGTATTTATACGAGTTAATAAACGAGGTAAAAATTCTAATGTGAATATAGATTTTCTTTTTAAAAATTTAATAAATAATTTTACAATTCTAATCACAACTTCTAATTTGTCGATTATGAACTCTAAAATCTTTGAGCTTAACTAATTAATTACATAATTCTTATTGATAGGATTACATTAGTTCAAATTTTGTAATTGGAAGAACTAAATTGATCCTAAAAGTTAGGGATCATTTACTTGATCATATTGATAAAATAATCACAATAAGGTAATCCATGTTAATGATGTTGGTAATTGCAGTGCGATGATCATAAAAAATGAACTCATTACATTCAAGATTTTGAAAACATTACAAAAAAAATATTTTATGACACTCACTTTAACTATTAATATCTTATTTAAATTGTCATTCACTTATTAATAAAATAAATATATAAGTAATAATTAAACTAAAAATACTATTGATATAATAATACATTACTATTAAATCTATAAATAAATAATTTCTAACTAATCAAGTTTTATTTAAATAATATATCATATATATAATACGAGTTATTATCGAGTTTAATATTAAGTATTTAACAAGTTACTTGTTAAACGACAAACGAGTGTTCATGAACATAAACGAACAAGTTCAACTATATTCATGTTTAGTTCGTTTAACCTTCAAGCTTTTAAAAATTGTTCAAGCTTGTTTATTTACTAAATTGAAAGAAAATGATGAAGCCTTAATCGAGTCGAACTCAAGTTGTTCATCGAGTGCATTGGTTCATTTACAACCCTACCTGTACCTCTGTTTTTTTCTCACGCTCAATTTGGAACGCCCTCATGTGGTTCTCCGTCTCAGCATATCCTCTTTAGCTTTGCCCAGGTGTCCCTCACCTTTTGAATATCATCTATTGAGGATGCAATTGACAGAACCATCGAATTGAATAGTCAAATGTAGATTAAGGTGTGCGTGGTCCTCCACTTATCCCCCTCAACACTGCCACTTTTTGATTTATCTTAGGTCAGATATCCCTCTTGTCTCTTTCCTACTAAAGTAGCCCTGAGTTAATGCGACCAACACAGATCCATGGTTGGTTCATCAAGCTTCAGATCCACAAAGGGAGATTTAGCTTTGCCAGCATTGGAGCACGTGTTGAGGTAGTGACTCCCGTCGAGATGCTAGCTCCATGTATGAGCCCAACCAAGACCTTCAAAACTTCGAGATTTATCTTCCTCAGAAGCTTCAATCTTTTGTCTCACATTATCTCCATCTCCTTACATCCTTAATTACAAGGATCCAAACCTAGTTCACACATCTTTCTTGTCTATACGTCGCGATCCTATCGTTGCCTTTCTAGGTATCTCTAATTGCAACTGTATCGTTGCGATCCTGTCATGATCTACCTGAGTAGCTCCAATCGCAACTGAATTGTGAAGCTCGAAGATGTGATCCCATCGTTAGCATCCCAGTAGCTCTAATCGCAGCTGTTTCGTCCAGAATCGACTGCTTCATCCAGCTTCACGAGGACGAAGAGGAAGGAAGAGGAAGTTTCGGGTTGTACGCCCTAGATTAGAGCTTTGATACCATAATGAAATAATTGCTCCAAAAAACCGATTTGCACATTAATAACATGGGCTTAAATAGAGTATTACAAGGTTTTACAAATAAACCCCTTTGACTTCTTCAATATTTCCTTTTTTTCCAATAGGACCCTAAATAAGGTCCAATTCTTAATAAAGTATGACATTTGCAACCCACTATTGCTATTATCGCCAAAAACTGTATTTGTTGTAGTTTAATTACGACTATTAAAGCTAGATGACTATTATGCATCTGTGTTTATCACCGTTATAATTTCATCTTCTCTATTTTAGTAGAAGTTTGAACCTATATATTTATAATTTTATAGTGGATTACTTTGCTTAGATTAGGTCCTGCAATTTTTTTCTCTTTCCTTGGTTTTTTCACGTAAAAAATCTTGATGTCTCTTTCTGCTACTTTTCTTTTATCCGCGTGTGTTGGATCTTCTTGCAACACTAAGATGTTAAATTATCACTCTACTAACACAAATTTTCTGACATGCCACTCTTTTCATGTTTTTAAATAGTTTAACAAAATGTAATGAACATTGTAGAAGCACGTTCTTCGAACATGATCATGAGAAGAGCCCTCCTTTTTTTTTTTTTTTTTTTTTTTTTCTGGAATGATTTCAAGTTTCAGCAGCAACCTCTTTGTCGGCTCCTGTTATGGGACTGTGATGAGATTATATTCATAAGAGAAATATCATCTCCATGTGAAATTATTAATACAAGAAAGATACATTAGATAAGGAGAATTTATCGTTTCTCTCGGTGAGCATTGCTATGATAACACTGTATCAATTAGTGTATATTTGCTCTTTTGCAGGCAGTTGCTGAAATCATCGTTTCACGATACTTCAAAGAAAGATTGCAACCGGTAAACTTTCCATAATGTTATGTAATTTTGATCATGCATGTCAGCAAGTTCTAAATTATTTCACTGAATTATATGATTATTTATGCCCTTAAAATTTCCCTGCTGTGTCAGGAAGAAGAAACCCGTGAGTTTATAGCTGAATGACATCATTATTGTTGAGCTGGTTCGATCAAATCAAAAAGGGCCAACTAGCTTTAGCTTGGCACAGCTTTAGCTTCTTCAAGTCATGCCCTAGCTTTGGAGTTTGTGGCAACTCCATAAGTTTTTTGTGGCAAAGAAATCCATTTTTTTGGAATTGAGAGCTTTTTGAAACTTTATTGTTAGTAACTAAGGTTGAATAAATTTCTGAAGAATGATCCAATTTAAGTAGGACATGAGTATTGAGGAGGGTATTTTGGTCACAAAAAATTAGTTTCATTCAAATGTAAGTAAAAAAAGACCACATCATCTAAAATTATGGAATTTTTACTCGTGATAGCCAAAGCTAGTAGGGCAGCGTGCTATTTATACTGTCGCAAGCGTCGTTGCCACTCCATAAGTTGTAATAGCCATGTCATCCTTTTTTTGAGATTGAGAGAGCTTTCCAAAACTTCATTGTCGAGTTGCTTTGCTTGGATAGATTTTGGGAGAATGATTTAACCCTAGAACAGGAGAAGAATTTTGAGGATGAGGCCATTTTGATCACAACAAATTAATTTTATCTTGAGTAAGTAAAAAATGGTAAATCAGCTAAATTAATGTAATATTTAATGCTAGCAAAATGGACCTTTGTGAAAACAGAAAACTAAGGTTTGGGATCTTCATAAAATCTTAAATTGGACTAGGGGTCAAAATGAAGGTTTTGAAAACATGAAACTATGTGAGATGCATCTCAAACATTGGCGATCTGCATGAAATCTACTATAACACGAGGATAGATGTATGCTGCGTTCATTTCCACGTCAAGATTTAAGTCCTCGCCTTTTATGTTTTATTTACGCAATATTCTCTTCTGAATTCATAACTTTGATTTTATATTTCTTAATTCTACGTTTCTATGTTTTAATTTCATGCAGTCAACTCTGGCTGCAATTGCAGAGATTCGTAGTCTGAGATTCGTAAATGGACTGCATTCACATACTGGATTGATGGGAATTGACTATCCTACTGCTTTCTGGATGTACAGGTCAATGCCTTGGACTTGTAAATGTAATATCTAAACTGACGTTTGTACCCATTTTAGAGGTTGCTCTTGTCAAATGTTTTGAAATCGTTTCTTTCGATTTTATCACTCTATTGAGCCAATATACATGGTCAAGCGCCGCGCCCAGTTTTAAGCATTCAGTTTTCCAACCCTCTAATGTGCTTGAAATCCCTTTATTTTTCCAGGGACCTTGGCTTTAGGGCATACGAAGTTAACTCTGTGGAGGACCTGTACAATCCATTTGTGTCCATGTATTTTGGAGCTGCCTATTATACTTGGCTTTCCGAATTTGAAGGAAGGTAAATGCTTATTGTACAAAGCTGAATAAATTTACAGCCTGAATGACAGCACGTAATTCCTCAAATAAATTCCTGATTCCGTAATTATTTCTTATATATTAATTAAAACATCATTTCTATTTTTTATGGATTATGTACTTTGTTGATCTTCTCTGCTCATCTTTGCGCCATATTTGTAATCAGGGAAAGAAGCCAAGAATTTGTCGTTCAAGCATTTATGGGTGGACCAGAGAATGTTAATTTGCAGGAGACGGGCCCTTTTTGGAAGAAGTTTCAGGAGGCTGTGAGATACTACGAAGTACCAGACAAGTATGTTCATTTGCTATGTCATTGAAGATGCATACTTGTTTCTTTCTTTCAATAAACTGTTTTTTTTTTATTCACAAATTGTTTGTTTTTGTGGAATATTTACATATATGCCACTCAATCTTATGTATTTACATATGTAACACCTATAACTCAATTGTTACATACATGGTACTATAGGCTTCGAAAATTGCGACACCAACACACTCCTTTTTTTTTTGTTGGTGTGTGTTGAGAGAGCTTTAAAGATCAAATTTTCATAAGGCAAATGAAATAGTGATAAGATCTAGAGATTTCGCCGTCACTTTGCTAGGACTTTATGATTTAGGGTCAAAGTTGTTTATAGGCGCACGCAAATATAGTTAATTACCCATCTTGATAACAGGAGAACACTTTCGGTAAGACTAGTCATTTAACACTAAATAATCTGTATATTGTAGCAACTGACATGCATTCTAAATTGTAAAATCTATTCCTTGGAGCTTAAAACAGATGTGGGGGAAATGATAACAAACACGATTAAGATCCCCTAGTTCTGTTATCCCTTGTTCTTGTGGTCCCTCATGTTGATTGAACTATCTTTGTCAACAACTATGAGTTGTGTCGTCCAAAGAGACCTTAAATATTTGGGGTGAAAGTTTGTCCAAGAGGATGCATTCAAGTTGACATTAGCTAGCATAAGGTTTTGTGCCAATTAATTGTACCTTTATAATTCACAATACAACTCAAAGGAGTTATTGGGAAAATAATGGTTGCGGGTGTAACTGTTATATATGTCAAAGTTTTGAGAAAAATAGGCTGAATTCTGAATAGGCTCGACGCTTTTTCCCTTTGCTTTCATTCCATTAAATAATAATCTTACAATCTATTTTAGGTACAATAATAATCTTACAATCTATTTTAGGTACAAAATATTCAGTATAATCTATTTTAGATAACTAAACAATACATATTTCTAATCTAAATATTCAGCTTAAAGAGAAATAAATCAGAATAAAAATATTAAAAATAATTTAAATAAGAAAGCTCATAATTATAAAAAATTCTTGATTTAGCTGTCTGATTTCTGTTCTTTCTGATTGACATCCTCCCTCAAATTGATGTTGACTGATCAGGAAGCGTCAATTTGCCAACAAGAAACTGATAACACTGCCGGGATAAAATTCTCAAGTCGTGAGTGCCAAAGCTGAGAATGTCGCAGCCTTAGAGACAACTCCTGAACTATAACATGATTTGAGCAAAGAAAAGCAAGAAATTCTTTATCATTGTCGTCCAGAAATTCGAATCATAGCCATAAGAAAGATCCACTTCTAGTTACACGATCTAAATTCTATCGATTATAGCCCACAAATAGGATCCAGTTACACAATCCAGATGCTATCGATCATAGTCTACAAGTAGGATCCACGTGCTAATCCAAATGCTACAGATCATAGCCCACAAATAGGATCTAGTTATACAATCCATATGCTATCGATCATAGCCTACAAGTAGGATCCGCGTCCCGATCCAAATGCTATCGATCATAGCCCATAAATAATCTAGTTCCTAATCCAAATGCTACCGATCATAGCCCACAAGTAGGATCTGCGTTCTGTTATATGATCCAAATGCTATTAATTCTTCCTGTGACGACGAAGACGATTTGTTCCCTGATCTTCACGCCAAAAGTGTTGAAGCCGAGATGTCGAAGCCGTTGACTGTCAAAGATACCGCAGAAGCAGCGATGCATAACGAAGAAGATCTGAATCAGACGGATAATAATACAAACATGACAACCCTTTTCAACCCAATAATCTTTATACTCCACAATGAATGGATTTTGCACTTTAGAATAAGTTCCATCTCTTAGCGAGCAGACCTGCGACATCTATCTGTTTGTCGAGCAAGTTTGGTCTTCTTCAAGAAATAATTCTTCTTTTCCACCTTGTTCTTCACGAGAAGAGCAAAGCCACATACCCCTTTGTCGATCTACTCCAAAACCTCATGCTTACCAACAATTCTAAACTCGAGCTCGACAATAGAGGGGGATTTGTGGGTTGGAGGGATCGTTAATGCGGAGACTAAACCATTCAAGAAGATGAGTCTGCATTATTGTTGAAGAGATTGATCGTCTCCGATACCATGTCAGGTGGGGAATCAAGGTAATGAAATAATTTCTCCCTTCCCGCAAGAAGACCTGCGGGAAGGAAGTCTTGTCGGTCTCCAACAACTACTGGTGGCTAGTGCAAAATTTTGGCTCTGATATCATGTCAAAGTTTTGAGAAAAACAGATTGAATTCTGAATAAGCTCGATGTCTTTTCCCTTTGCTTTCATTCCATTAAATAATAATCTTACAATCTATTTTAGGTACAAAATATTCTGTATAATCTATTTTTGGTAACTTAATAATATATATTTTTAATCTAAATATTCAGCTAAAAGGGAAATAAATCAGAATAAAAGTATTGACAATAATTTAAATAAAGAAGCTCTTAATTATAGAAAACTCCTAATTTAGCTGTCTGATTTCCGTCCTTCCTGATTGACAATATAATTGTGTCATTTGTCGGCAACTATCTGGTTAGAGGGCTTTGGTCGTAACCGCTATTTTTTGGTGTCATTTGACGCAAAATCACGCGGTTAGAAAAATGAGGCCATGCCTTTAGTATTATGCAACTGTTTCGATTGTAAATATGTTGATACATTTGATATGACATTTACACTTTGTGAGTTGAATTTGATCGAAAGATTGTCACTCGTGACAAACTATTGCGGATGGAGGATGAAATTTGCTTCAGTCTTTTATGCTATCATTTTTAACTCAGAATATTTTGACTGATTACTTTAAAAATCTTGATTTTAAAAAGATTAACCCATTCAATTGAGATTTTCAATGAACGCGTCCATCATCGCGGATTGGATTGCTTGAATTTTATTTTAAATTCATTAATTTTGATATTTTTAGAATATTATTCTTGTCAACTCCAGTCCTGATGAGGAGGAAGGATTATGGTATATGATTTGGGTTTATAAATTCTTATATGTATGATTTGAATATTTATTAGAACTTACTAGAATCGTTAATTCTAGTCCTTGAAAGAAGGTTCAGGCTAGTTGAGTGTAACTTACAACCCTACAGTATAAGAAAAAACAACCTTATATTTGTGATTTAGACATTTATTGAAATTACTAGACTCGTCACTCTAATTCTAGAAAGGAGGATCAAACTAGTTGAGTGAGGCTTACAACCTTACCCTATAGGCAAGATGATCAAATTGATTGCTTTTAAAATATGAACTATTTGAATGTAATTTTAGCCTTCTCTTGTGCAACAATCCTTAGTAATTCGTTAAAATATTTAGTATTTTAATTGGAGCTCATGCGAGTGTATAATTTCATACATTTGGATATCTTAAAGAATTTTATAGATTTTGAAGGGTTGTACAATCTTTAAACAATAATTTTGTTATGAAATTTACATAAAGAGATTTTGAAATCATGAATAGGATTCTTATTTATATGAATGTACTAAGGCACACATATTTCATGAGAGTACGGACTATTACTCACACAATCTTGAAACACTTTCACATATTTCAAAACATTGCATTTGAATTAGAAGAAAACGATGAAGTTTATATAAATTTTGAAATCATTCAGAGCTTGAAATATTCTCATAAATTATATAATTTTGAGCTTTAAAAGGGCCATGTTCTGTCCGCTTGCAAATTGGAATTGCAAATTTGGTGAGAATATGATTTTTTTAAAATTCATCATCTAATCAATAAGTATTATTCATTTACTATTTTAATCTTCGTGTGATAAAATCTTGCTTTCTCATGAGTTATTAAAATTTTCATATAGATTATTATTTATGCCACATTTAAGTTTTTTAAGTCCAATGATTAGTTTAAAATTTTATTGAAAGGCCACTTTTTTATTTGTCATATTATATACTCAGTTAGTCCATATTTTAAGTCATTTGCAAGTCCAACATCACTAGAAACTTCGACAGCCTCTTGGCTATCACAACCTATCTTAGGGCTTGAAATTAACCAAGACGAACACAAATGGTTGGATGATGAAAAGTTAATTTTCAGCGTTCATTTTCTATAAATAACATTAACAAATGAAAGGACCACGATAGAAAAGACATTAAATTAAAATAATTATAAATTTACCTCAAATCATATTATTTGTGTCTTCTATAAACATTTTTTTTCTATTGTACTTCTTTTAACAAAGTGATTAAACCTATAATCTTAATTTAAAATGATAGTGAGAAAAAATATGAGTGAGTACACCTATCTAAACTGCAGTAACGTAACGAAAATGAAAGAATATGCATGTCAATTAACCGATTAACCTTTTAATAAATCTGCATAAAAGTATTTAATAATTTATAAATGTGATTGATCACGATATTTCATAACATTGAATATGTTTACAATATCAATAATATGCATATATCATTTTATATATGTACAATTGTTACAGGACCTTCATATAAAATTGTACTATTTAAGATACTTCAATATACATGTTATTTTTTATTTATGTGCATGAGTATCTTAGTGTCCCTCTGTTAATATCATAAAGTGGCGAACTCTATCATAATCAAACATTCACATACATTCAGTTTATGTGGTTTATATCATCTATACGTCTATTTCATTCGATTCAATATATTTTATATTATCCTTCAAATGTAAAACCATCATAATAATATGATCAAAAAAAAGAAGAGCATATAAATTTGAATAAATCTTGACAATTGAATTTATAAGTTGTAGTAACTATCAATGTAACTGATTAAGAAGAAACAAATTTGCTATTACAGATCAAAAGTAAGAATACCCACTTGCTTTCACTTTATAAAATGATCCTTTAACTTGTGCAATATTAATTGGATTCCTGAGATTGATTTATTAGAATAATATTTAATACTTATGACTTCAGTTGAATTTAAGCATTACCATAGCTTAAATGCAAAAATTCTTGCCTGATTGATGTGACAAATTCTATGTGATTTCAATCCAAAATCCTTCTTGCTTACTAACCTTAATTAGCAATAAAACCTATTTTAATACCTAATAATTTATAATTTTATTGATAAAATAAAATATTAAATAAACATTGACTCTGCTAATGCGTACCTTCTTCTTCTTTCCTCAATTTGAAACGTTCTTCCTATAAAATTTTTTATATTAAATCATAACTTAATATTTTATGCATTTAATTAAACATGATAAATTCAAGACTTAAATTTAAGCATTAACATTCTAGAGCTTTCAGTTCACCTTCGGTTCAACTACTACACAAGTTAGTTTTCTTCTTCACATGCACACAGCTTGCTTCTCTATTCTTCTTCCTTGGGCTACTCAAACCTGCAACCCTCCTTCGGCTTCAACACAGAGCCGCTCCCTCTCTTATTGCTTTGCCTGAAGCCTCACCTCCTCCTTTATCTTCTCCCTTCTCATAGGAATCGCTCGACACCTCTCTTCCTCACATTCAGCTGGCTTGATTGCGAGACTGTCTACTTCTCCTCTCCTCGAACCTACAAGATAGGGTTGGAAATGATCCCGTCTTCTTGTTCTTCTTCTCTGCAGTGTCCCTTTCTTCTTTCTTCTCCTTTAAAACGTTGTCTCTTTCTTCTTTATTCAAACCCACAAGCTAAGACTTCACTAGGGCCGGCTCTCCACCTAAAACGAGAAGTCGCTTGCTCGCCTTCCCTTCCTCTTGCTTTTCATTCTCCTTTGCCGTCGTTTCTTTCTTCCTCTCAGCCTCCCTCTCTCACCTTCTTGGTCTGTTAGGAACGAAAGGATCTATTCTTCAACTCATAAAGACGAAACGAGATTAGCGAGGTTTTCATTCTCACCTAAAACGACTGCACTTATTGAAACTCTTAATAATAATAACATTATTATTAATTTTATTTCTTTATTTATTTATTCAGTTATTACACTCGCGTCCTCCCTTTTAGGAGATTGCATCGGGTTGCCTAACATTCCCAAGTATCTATAAGACATACTAGTCCATGTCGTGAGACACTGTGTTAGGAGAAAATCTTCTAATCTACCGGTCTATAAGATACGAGCAGTTCTTAGATTTTTTTAGATGAAAATATTGTTATCACAATTTTCCTATGTCTATACCTTTGTTGTGAGATGACGGTGAAACAAGATTGATGAGTTGACAAATCACCACAAAATTCTTTTTCTCCCCCTACTTCTCTCTTCTCTCCTTTCTCTCTCTACCTCTCTCTTTCTTAGAAACTATGGTTGTTCGTACACAATGATTTCGGGCCAGTGCAATACAGGTTTATTTGGGTTGGGCTTGAGATAGTATAGAAGGTAGGGTTGATTCAACAACATAGTGGATTCTTTTTTAAGGATGGTAGCATGGTAAGCAAGCAAAAATGGAGTGTTCGGCAACTACAGTTGAAATCGAGGGATGGGAATTTCAACTTGTGATCGAGTGCAAGGCATAGATGAAAAGGAGAAAGGAGTTCTCTGGAATCATATGGGAAGAGTAAGAGCTTCAAAGGCCTTTGTACGCAGCGATCCCATCGTTTCATTTCCTTTTGGCTCTAGTCACGACTGTATCGCTTGTGTTGGTGTTGCTCGAATAGAGAGGCCGATCGTGAGCGAGAAAAGATGGGAGTTTTTGTGATCCTTGTATGATGTGTTCTCATCGTTGCTTTCCCATTAGTTGGATTGTGAAGATATGCCATCACTGAAGAATCACAACACCGCGAGGTATTTCTGAATGGACCAGAGTAGAAGCAGGAAGGTCGGTGAGGGGTGGAGCGGAATAAGTGAAAGACGTGATGACCTCATTGACAGCCGGGTCAAAAACACCTCAAATTTGAATTCCTTTAAAATTATCGCTTGTGATTGATCGTAGAGCCTCCTATGGGTGCAAGTGACATGAATCTCGTTAATTGTGTGCGTCGCTGTGTGCATTGTGGTATTCGTGCATCCTGTAAGCGCGCGGAGATCGCAATGGGCTTTCCTAGGGTTTCAGATCCTAAGGGTACTTGACTTGAGTTTCGTCGCGCTGGTTTTAATCGACTCAACTAAGCGTTGAGAATTTTAGAACCAGTCACATGAAACTGTGAGGAGTCAAGAAGTGACTTGAATTTCTAATCGGTGTAAGGGCCCTAGGCTAGTTCTCTAAGAGAGTCGGTAGGAAACCCTAAAGGCTAGACCCTATGCTCTAAGAAGAGGAAGTGACCTCACCAAAAATGAGGTCAACTGACTGGTGCTACAGTATGTCTCCAAGTGGGAGATTGTTATGAGTGGAGACTAATTTGGTGAGTAGTGGGACGGAGCCCCTGGCTCCTATGCGCCAGGTTGTGAGCGCTTAAGACACTTACTTGGGTGCTGCTCGAACAGAGAAGTCGGTCCCTATGCGCCGGCTTTGTACGCATATGCACCCATATAAGCGCTTAGGCGCCTGTTTCCCGAGAGCTTAGTGCATGGCACGAAGTTCAATGTCTATGTGCCAGGAGTTGTTGGTGTTGGGAATTGGTTTTTAAACTCGATTTCGAGTGGTGTAAGGTAGGGCTTGGTGTATCTTTCTTCGGTATTCTTCGACAAGCATCCCGGTGATGGTGAGGAGTGTCAAAGAGATGAATTTCGGTGATTCGACATGATTTTTTCGTCTGATGGGAAATAAAAGATTGTGGAGCGAGTCCTGTAAGTTTTCTTTGTGTGTGGAGAGAAAACTTATGTGATTTCTTTGAAAACCCTTCTAAATGTCATAATAAAAATTTCTGGTGGTGTGGCTCCGTGATTTTTTTCCCATTCTCGGGCTTTTCCACTTAAATTTTTATGTGCTTGTCTAGTTGCTTTGATTATGCTTCTGTTCAAATTCTTGTTCTAGTTTTTTATCGAATTGGTGCGATCCCGTTATTCCACAGTGTGGTTTAGTTTCTAATTGATCCTAAGCCTCAGTAAAGTAAATAATTGGTCGTTGTGTGATTCCTATCAGATTTAGTAAATCTTATTTAACGTAAATCCTTGTTGCCGTCAAAAACCGTCTAAATGTAAAAGGTAAAGTTTAGGTGTTAGATATGTAAATGAGTGAGTTGAGCGTTATGTATCTAAATGCCCTCTTTTTTTTAACATTGTTAACCACTGATGATGACCTGGGCTCTTTGGGTTGAAGTGTTTTCCTCGTTCTCTCCGTTGTTTTATTGCCTTTTTATCCTTCTTATTTAAAATTTTAATGAATCTCAACAGGGAAGGAAGAGGCTGCTGCATCTTATGATCTGTTAGCATAATCTAACCTTGCGGTCTTCGCAGGTAGGCCATTCAAGATGGGTTCTTTCATCTTAATCTTATGATTGATTATTTTATTTTATTTTATTTTTTTTCCATATACTCATTAAGCACCCTAGTTCATGCTGTGGAGTTTCCTTGGATTAATGATTATGCTATGAAGATTCACTAAGAAACAATTATTCCTTTATTTGTCAAGAATTGAGTGTTTTAGCCATATGCACTATTTTGTTGCATGATATTTTTTTCTAGTGTTATTTGCTCGATAACTTCAAAATAAATTTATTTGTACGACATGCTGTATTTGCATTTGACAATAGAGCTTATATATATATATATCCAGCACAACTTGCCAAACAAAAATAGGAAGTTAAAAAGTTGATAACTAATGTAAGGTGATACATATATGTAAAAATTAAAGTTTAGGTGTCTGATAAGTAAATACATAGGAATGGAGTGTTATGTTCGTAAATCATCCTAAACTGTAACACAATATCAATCTGCCTTCTTCTACAAGTCTCAACCTTTTCATAAGCGCCACATCTGTTGATTACTAATGTCGGTTCAAACAAATCCCTTCAAATCTATCCCTAAATATCCTTCCTCCCTCCATAAATTAGGCTTTCAATTTTCTCTAGTTGCTTGTTATTTCTATTATTTCATTAGTCTGGTTCATGGTTCTCTAGTTTCATAAAAATGAAGTGCTAGAGCAGTGTCTGATTTTTTTTTTTATCATTTCATATTCATTTTAAACCTTTTTGTAAGAGCAGATTATAATAATAAATAATTTTCCTTTTTTTTTGGCTTCTCATCATATTTCTACTGCTCTTACTTTCTTCATTGATGTAACCATTTATCTATGCAGTAAACTCTGCATCTGATAGCTTCAGTACGCATAGATTTTCCTATAGAACAAATTCCTGTTTATACTGACTGCTAAGGGCTCATTTTGTTGTTTTAAGTTAGGAAAATGCTTTAAAGAAATGATGAATTTATTTAATTCATTATTTGATTTGGGTAATTAGAAACACTTCGGATTTTGCAACATATAAACATCCTTAAAATCCTTACAAAGTGGCATTCATTGTTCACATTTTTTAAGCGTAAAAATTACATAATCACTAACATATTTTTATAAATGAGCCCTATGTGATTATTTTCCTGCTACGAAATTGATGCGATGCTAGGTAAGAGATAAAGCGAAGAGAATAATATATTTATGTGGAAAATTCAAAATTGAAAAAATCATGAGCAAAGATGAGAGAGAATTTACCATATCAAAGGAGAATTGTAAGTGGGGATTGGTGGCTACCATAACATAACACCCCAAAAATCCTAAACACACCCAATTCTTACATATTTGCATATCTAATACTTCAATTTTACATTTTACATTTATAACAGCTAAATAATTCATATTATATAAAACAATATTATTATTTTAAAATTTAAAAAATATTTTAAATTTGTGACTCAAATTTGATGGGTCTCCCTTGTCTCATAAGAAAACTATGAGCATATGGATTAAGTCTTAAAATGAAACTATGAGCAAACAAATTGAAGACCCCTATTGTTTGATTATACTTCTAATAACTTTTAGATTATAATTTGTGTGCTCTTGCTTTATTAGCTCCCTCTCAATTAATTTATTTAAAAGGAATTACAAAAATCTATAAGTAACTCCCATTTCTTAATAAATATAACTCATTTTTCCTTGGGTTGGTTTTATGATTGTCGAAGTCTTTTACATGTAATTTCTTGTTTGACAATTAATTCTCGTTATCTACTCGAGATTTTTCTTATTTTGGGGTTTCTACATAAAATTTGTGTTATTTCTCTTGTTTATTTCATTGTTATAACATTGATTTTATAATAAGTGATATCAAAGCCAAATTTTTAATATTTACCGTCAAAGTTTTGAGAAAAATAGGCTGAATACTTAATAGACTCAATTGCCTTTTCCCTTTGCTTTCATTCCATTACATAACAATCTTACAATCTATTTTAGGTACAAAATAAAGTTCATAATCTATTTTAGGTAACTTAATAATACATATTCTTAATCTAAATATTCAGCTAAAAGGGAAATAAATTAGAATAAAGATATTGGAAATAAGGAATCTTCTAATTATAGAAAACTCCTAATTTAGCTGCCTGATTTCCGTCCTTCCTGATTGACATCCCCCTCACTTTGATGTTGACTGATCAGGGAGCATCAATTTGCCAACAAGAAATTGATAACACTGTCCGACCAAAAATCCTCAAGCCATGAGTGCCGAAGCCGAAAGTGTCGAAGCTGAGAATGCCGAAGTCTAAGAGTGTCGAAGCGTGAGAGTGTCGAAGTCTGAGAGTGCCGAAGTCGAGAGTGCTGAAGCTGAGATTGCCGAAGTCGTCAGTCTAGGAAGGAGTGTCGAAGCCTTCAATCCTTGAGTGCGACAAAGAAGCCGAAGTTGAAGCGGACGAAGCCGAAGCCGAAGTAGTTGAAGATGCCACAGAAGCAGCGATGGCTAGCGAAGGTGATCTGACGAAATAATAAGACGACGAGCAGACGAGCGATAATCAAGGCATAAAAATAGTTCCTCCCCGTCCCGCAAAAAGGCCGATGACTATCGGTGGTTATGATAATAATTTGGCTCTGATACTATGTCAAAGTTTTGAGAAAAATAGGCTGAATACTTAATAGGCTCGATTGTCTTTTTCCTTTGCTTTCATTCCATTAAATATCAATCTTACAATCTATTTGAAGTACAAAATAAAGTGCATAATCTATTTTAGATAACTTAATAATACATATTCCTAATCTAAATATTCAGCTAAAATGGAAATAAATCAGAATAAAGATATTAAAAATAAGGAAGCTTCTAATTATAGAAAACTTCTAATTTAACGGTCTAATTTCCGTCCTTCCTGATTGACATTTACAATAACAGTGAAATATAACATTCTTGTTTTAAATCGGAACACCAGATTTTTTATTTGGTAGATTAAGATGCAAGTTATCTCAGTGCAGATGGATCTTGATGATGCATTATTTGGTTTTGAAAAAATGTACTTAATCATGGATGTTTGAGAAAAAAACAATGCATAGATCAAAAGGTTTTACCTCAAATTCATATTCATCTATCAAATTAGATTTATAGGATATTTTGAAGGAGAAGACGGTTGCTCTATTATGGCTCTCATCAACAAGTTATATTTGAAGTAACATTTGCACTCCCGCGGGATGACAAAAGGTGCATCTCTTATATCCCTTAACTAATTTTAAGTATATCGTCTATGATTTAAAAGCTATGGAAGGTAAGTGTGTCGAAGAATGTTAGGCGTAATTATGTTTTGTTCTCTGTCTTCATTATGTCCAATGTTTTGAGGTATCATCTTGTATGGGCAAGGTACATTTTAGCTAAAGTGTGTGGTGCTTTATTTTTAAAGAAAAGATGAACTAACATGTGAATGAACATGTTGCTCAAACTGGATGGCTTATTGTTTGAGGTAGAACTCAAGAGAGTAGTTGCGCTACCGATACAAAGAGTAGATCAAAATCCATAAATAATAATAAGATCTACAATTATTACAAAAAAAAGGGCATATCAAAATTAATGTTAAAATCTGCAAAATAAAAGTAAGATAATAACTTGTAATCATAAAAGTAAACAAATAGATCATTCTGGTGAAACTAGTGTTGTTGAATAACTTATTATTAATAATGAATTTCTAGTTGTCTTTGATGACAAACCTTGTGATGGTTGGGTTCTTGATTTTACCTGCATAATGCATGTCCCATTATTGATTGATTTTCAAGATATGAAGTGGTGGTGTAAAGGGGCAATAATGTTTCTTGTAAGATAATTAGTGCTTATGATAATTAAAATATTTTATGGAGTCATTAGAACAATAAGAAATGTGAGGTGTGTCCTAGATCTAAAAAGGAATTTAATTTTCTTTAGTACACTTGATGCTGAAGTATATAAGTACTATAGCTCTTATTATGATGGCAAGACAAAAGAAAACCTCTTGTTACGATGAAATGAAATGATAGAAAAAGACTGCAGGACTATATATTTTGCTATGCTCTAGAGCGGTAGGTGATGCTAAATTTATTAATTTTCCATTTCAGATGATGAAGTAAATAGATTTTGGCACGTGCATCTTAATTATATGAGTGAGAATGAGATAATTGAACTAAGTTGAAGAGGACTTCTAAATGCTCAAATGTATTATTTAGTTCTGTGAGCACCATGTATTTGAAAAATAGAAGAGAGTTAAGTTTAATATTGACATTCACATGACCATGGAAATACTAGACTGTATATTCGGACCTTTGGCGACCATCCACAGTATCGTTTGTGGATATTGTCAAATATATGTTGACGTTCATTGATAATTTTTTGAGAATGATTTGAGTTTTCTTCTTGAAGTAGAAGAGTGATATTTTTTACTACTTTTTAGGAGTGGAAGATTATAATTGAGAAGCATATTAGAAAACGAATTAAATGCCTTCACACTAATAAATGGTTATAGTTTATTCAAGAGAATTTAATTTCTTCTACACATTAGAAAGAATTTTGAGAGGCTTCTTAGTTTGGCACACTTCGCGATAAAATGGTGTGATATAGTGATGAATACGACCTAAAGGAGAATGTTCCTTGCATACTCTCTAATGTTGGGCTATTTTAAGTCATTTTGGGCTAAAGTTGTTTCTATAACTTTTTATTTGGTGAATCACTCTTCTTCTATTACTATTGCAGGAAGACTGCACAAAAGATTTGGTTAGGTAAATCTATAGATTATTTTAATTTAAATTTTTTTTATTGCCCTGAATATGCTTATACTAATAGTGTCAAATTAGATATTAGATCCATAAAGTGTGTATTTCTTGGTTATAAAATTAGGGTTAAAGGCTATAAGTTATGATACCCGGAAACCAAGAAAATGATCATTAGTAGAGATATGTTTGATGAGTCATTCTTGTTACATACAACACATGCTACATAATCTAATGTCGATTAGAAGGCGGTGTCTAGTAGACAAATAGAGCTTCAGATTTAGACAGATACATTATTGGCCATGATTTCTAAGTCAAATTCAGATAGTCATGGTGATGTTGTTTTCCCATCACCACGTCAATAATCATCATAATATTTTATTGCTACAGATAGAACAAGAGGATAAGTAAAGCTTTCTCATATGTATGATGAGATCGATTTAGTTGCTTGTGCTTTAAATATAATCAAATGTATTGAGTTTGGTGATGAACCTTATAGCTATAGAGAAGTTGTTAATTCAGTTGACTTAGGTAAGTTAATGATCGCAATGCAATAGAAGATTGAATCCCTACACAAAATTAGGACTTGAGATTTGGTAAAGTTGTCTTAAAGCAAAAAAGTTGTTCTATGCAAATGGGTGTTTCAGAAAAAAGAAACACCAAGGCTTGAAGATGCTAAATATAACACTAGAGTTATTGTAAAAAAATTCAGTCAAATTTCAAGTATAGACTTTACAAATGTACACTCTAGAGGTTAAATATAGTTCAATTCGAATTTTATTGGGTATTGTGGCTTAAGCGTAACCTTGCACTTTTAAGTAGTTAGATATAAAGACTACATTTTTATATGAAGAGCTTGATTAGGACATATATATGCAGCAGTCTAAAAGCTTTGTGGTTATGGAAAAAGAAGATTATATTTGTTTGTTGAAGAATATATTTATGATTTAAAAAAGTTTCTTAGGCAGTTGTATCAATATTCTGACTCGTTTAAGATTTCCCATTAGTTTAAAAGAAGAACCTAGGATAATTGTGTTTACTTAAAGAATAATAATAAAGAATATTTTATCTATTTGCTCTTATATGTTAATGATAAGTTTATGGCTGCCAAGATTAAAAAAAGACATTAAGAACTTAAAAGTTCAACTTAGTAATGAATTTGAGATAGGAAAATTTAGGAGCTGTGAAAACAATATTTTGCATGGAGATTTAGAGAGAGAGAAATATTATAAGTTATTTTTTAGAGAAAGAGTACATTGAGAAAGTTCTGTATATGCTTAATATGTAGAATGTCACCTATGAGTACTCAATTAGCTGCACATTTCAAACTCTCATCAGCTTTGTGTTCACAATCAGATGATGAGATTGAGTATATGTCTTGAGTTTCATATTTCAATGTGATGTGATGTCTCATGTATGTTTATGATATGTTCTCATCTAGACTTATCATCTGCAGTCAGTTTACTATTAAATACATGATTAATCCATGCAAAAATTGTGAAAAGCAATTCAATGGATCCTCAGGTCTCTACGTGGACTAAAGGATGTTTGTTCATAGGTCGGGAGGGATACACATAGAATCATTGTTTATGTTGATTCAAATTTGGTTCAGAACCTAACATGAGATCATTTACATGATATATGTATACTATTGGTGGTTGTTCGATTAGTTGAGAGGTCATTAATGACAATATTTACAATTGAAGCCGTGTATATATGAATTACTAAAACTTCCAAAGAAAGTATTTTGTTGAAATGTCTATTTGAAGATTTAAGTGAAGATTGAAAATTATCACAGTAATGTGTGATAGTCAGAATGATATTTGTCTCAACAAAGATAAGACGATTCATGGGAAAGCAAAACATGTTGATATTTGTTATCACTTTATTCATAAAATTATCGCTTTTGGTGATATTATTGTGAGTAAGATCATCACTCGTGATAACCATGTGGATATGATAATTTGGGCATCCTCAATAGTATAGCTTGAGCATTGCTGAGACTTGATATTCATTTTTTATCATTAGAGTTTTGTGGAAGATGTGTAAAATGTTTTTTGTTGAAAATTAAATGTATATATATTTTTTTATTTTGAGAATTCTTGTCAATGTAGAGATTGTTAAATCTATAACCCGAGTTTTGTGAGACACACTGTCTTATAGAAAATTGTAACCGCAAAAATTATAACTTTAGAAGGAAGCTCTGAGCATACAAATTGAATGATTCCACCATTTGTTTGATTTAATAATAGCCTTTAAATTACAATACGTGTCTCTTGCTTTATTGGCTCCCTCTTAATTAATTTATTGAAAAGGCATCTTGAAGTCCATAAATACCTTATTTTTCTTGTACAAAAAAACTCACTTTCTCTTAGTTTGGTTTTTTGTCACCCGGAGCTCTCTACTTATAATTTCTTAATTGACATAGTAAATTCTACTCTTTTGTCCATGTTTTTTTTTTTTCCATTTTGAGTTTTTCAGATAAAATCTGTGTTCTTCCTCTGATATATATATATATATATATATATATA